AAAAAAAAAAAAAAAAACCAGGAAATACCAGACATGTGAAATGTCCGGTATTTCCTGTTTCCCTCGGACAGAAGCCCGGCAGGGACAATTTTTCCCTCCTGCATCTGGCGGGAGGGGAGTGAGGAGTGCAGAAGAGTCGTAGTGAAGGGGGGAAGGAAAGGGCACTTGCTAGGCGCCACGCTAAGGGGGCGCTGAGCTGGGGTGGGAGTGGAGCGCACACTGCTCTGGCTCACGTGACCAACAGAGACCCAGAAGCTGGCAATGTGATGCCTCCCTCAACACCAGCCGTGGTCAACCCTCACAAGCCGCATGTGGCCCTTGCCCCCCAAAAGTGCAGCTCATAAAGCCACTCCTGCGCCCCTCCCCAACAACCCCCGCCAGCTCCCCTCCCCTTAACAACTATGCTTTTTTTCCCCTTAACAACTTTGGTCTCCCCCCCTTTTTTTTCCTTGGCAGAATTTTTTCCAGGGTTTTTTCTTTTTCTTTTTTTTTTTTTTTTTTGGTGTGTGGGGGGGGGGTGGTCAGTATTTTTTGTTAAACCATCTGGCAACCCTACCTGCCCCATTGCCACTGAATGCTGCCTTCCATTGGAAGGCCCAGTAGACCTCTCCCACACTTTGCCTTCTCCCCCTCAGAAGCTTTTCATGGGAATGCTCATTTTGCTCCCAGTCCTGGGTCCTAACAATAGCTGCCAACCCCTATCCTCCAAGGTGCATTAACCTGCAGCTACTCCTGGCTCTTCTCCCTCCTTCCAACAGAGCGACAAGGTGACCATTGTGGACCACCACTCGGCCACAGAGTCCTTCATCAAGCACATGGAGAACGAGTACCGCTGTCGTGGAGGCTGCCCTGCCGACTGGGTGTGGATCATCCCCCCGATGTCCGGCAGCATCACCCCCGTCTTCCACCAGGAAATGCTCAATTACCGGCTCACTCCCTCCTTCGAGTACCAGGTACCATCTGTAGCCAGGCTTCTGCCAGTGCGTCATACCCTGCCCCTTGCATGTGAGGGTACCATGATGGGCAGGTGCAGCAGGAACTGGGCCTCAGCCACCTAGGGATGAGTTTTGTATCTGGGTGGTGCTGGTTAACAAGCCTGACTGTTACAAGGCATGAAGGTATAATCCGAGTCAGGCTTGCAAACCCTCTGTGTGAGTTGCTCCCCTTTCCCCAGGGAGGATGGCTCTTTGCATTTCTGCCAGAGCCCAGAGAATTGTCTCAGGCCCATCCTGAACCCTTCATCCCAAGCCCTTCCTTTAGCCCACATGCCATGGGGGAGAATGCACTCACTCCAGACTGGCCACCTCTTGTGAACTGGAGCAAGCTGCTCCTGCCAGAATGGGGATGGAAAACCTGACTCCGCTCTCTGGATGGCAGTTCAGAGCATGAGTCCTTCAGCCAGCATAACCTCAACCACCAAATGTCTGTGCTCCTGCGGCTTCCATTCAGTGTGCCCTTTAGCTAGCGTCCTAAGAAATAATCTACAGAAGGGACCCTCTTTTCGGCGAGGTTATCCATCTACTCCCAGCTCGACTGTGAATCCTCTTTCATAGCCTCCATCCCTTCTCGGGGCCCGAAGGAAAAATGGAGGGGTACATTCCTGGATCTCCCTGCTCATTAGCTATCAGGGCTCACTGGGATGGTTTCACTTCTGGGAGGCAAAAAGGGCATGGTCCTCAACCATATTATTCCAAGCCGGCAGGGCTCTCACTGTCAGCATGTTGAAACCCTGGTGCACCCAGTTTCCATGGATATGCATATGGGGCATCCGCGGAAAGAGCTTCCACTCAAAACTTAAGTAAGGAGAAGGCATGGAAGACATCCTTTTATTCTGCACCAGCACTGCATTTACATTCATGAAAACAAGATCTCAATCTGCCCTGACTGAAACACTGCAAAGGACATTTGGGTAAGACAAACTTCTTAGCTTGGAAAAACTTAAAAAGCAACAACTAGTCTAGCAGCATCTTAAAGACTAACAAAACATGTAGATGGTATCATGAGCTTTTGTGGGTGCAATCACTTCTCCAGATGAATCGAGTATTTAAAGTCCAGTTCCAAAATAAATAAGGGACAGAGGGGAAAAAGAAGAGGAAAAAATAGTGAATTAGAGTGTTCCTGTTACATGAAGCTGATAGAGAAGGTACAAATTGTTCTTAAGTACCCATTGTTTGGTTGGTTAAGTCATTAGGATGTGGAATATATCGTGCTAGCCAGGTGATGTCCTTATTCATACCTTTGTGATAAGTCCCAAACTTGTAAATGAAGTTAAGTCCCAATGCTTCTCTGTGTATTTGGCTTGTGGAATTGGCTTGAAACAACATGGTGACTTGAAGATCTATTAATGAGTTCCCCAGACAGATTAAACAGGTGTCTGTGTGTTGCCTTTTTGGATATCTGATTTGTGTCCATTAATTCTTTCCCGTAGAGACTGTCCAGTTTGGCCAATATACATGGCAGAGGGGCTATACACTATAGTGATTTAGCCACATTGTTCAAGCAGCTAGGCACGCTCAAACTTCCAAATAGCTACATGTGGCTAGTGTGTTGGTCACCACGGATCTAAACAAACTGTTGTTCCATTGCTGGGCTCCACAGACCCTGCCTTTGTTGAACAACAAAACTCTGCCCCTCAATTGACAACAATCTTTTTCCTCCTAGCCTGACCCTTGGAACACACATATCTGGAAAGGAGTCAATGGGACGCCTACCAAAAAGAGAGCCATCGGTTTCAAAAAGCTAGCCAAGTAAGTACCTGAGAAGGAGATGCCCCCACGCACCAGGAGCCAAAGCCCTGAGATGCGGCACACTGGTCTTTTCTGTTTGGCTTGCCATTCTGTGCAGTGATGCTGCCATGTGCTACTTGAATTGCTGCTGTATCCGCAGCTCCTTGCCCTCCGTTGTCCTCTGAAGGCCTCTCCTTTGACAGGTCAGCTTGAGTGGCACAAGAGAGAGCTGCCTAGGGAAGTGGGCAGCATTTGGAGTCTGCCACTGGTGCAGCCAATGGGAGGGTGAGGTAGAAAATGGCTAAAACCCCTCATTGGATCTCAGTTCATTTTCCAGCAACGTGTCTGGTTGTTCCAGCCTTGGGGAGAGACTCCATGCAACTCCTCTTGCTTCCTCTCTCTGGGGTTATCAGGCCTGATTCTCCTTCCTTCTGCCCCTCAGGACGAGGATGTAACTCCCTCGCTGGTATAAGTGAAAGGAAACTCATGCCCCCTACAGCCCTCCTCTTTGCTCTTTATGATAGTTCAGCAGATTGCTCCCCTGCTGCTAGTGGGGACCAAGGGAGCCCAACTCTTTGTAAGTGTGAGAGGGGAATGGCAGCAGAAGGGTTGCTACAGCTGGATATAAGAGATGGGCTTACACCAGGATCCTGGTTCTGGACATTTTGGAATCAAAACCTGGGACCACATTCCACAACCTGTCCCCATCCAGTTCTGGGCCCCACATTTCAAGACCGATGTGGAGAAACTGAAGAGGGTCCAGAGAAGAATAAGAAAAGTGATGAAAGGCCTAGAGAACATGAGCTATGGTGGAAAACTGAAAGAACTGAGTTTGTTTAGTTTGGAAGAGAGAAGACTGAGAGGGGACATGATAGCAGTTTTCAAGAATCTCAAAGGGTGTTACAAGAAAGAGGGAGAAAAATTGTTCTCCTTGGCCTCTGATCTTAGGACAAGATGCAATGGTTAAATTGCAGCAAGGGAGGTTTAGCATTGGCGTGCTAAACCCAGGGTTGTGAGTTCAATCCTTAAGGGGGCCATTTAGGGATCTGGGGCAAATCTGTCAGGGATGGTACTTGGTCCTGCAATGGGGGCAGGGGACTGGACTCAATGACCTTACAAGGTCTCTTCTAGCTGTATGAGATAGGTGTATCTCCGTATGTTAGATTGAACATTCAGAAAAACTTCCTCACTGCCAGGGTGGTTAAACACTGGAATAAATTGCTGGGGGGGGGTGTCTATTGTGATGAGGGCAGTAGAAACGCACAGGCCTGCTGGAGCAGGGCTGACCTTTATCTCCATCATTGCAGATATTTAAGAGCAGGTGAGACAGATTCTGTCAGAAGAAATGGTGTAGATCAGGGGTAGGCAATAAAACAGCAGTGGTTCACCAGGGTTAGCTCGTGGTGGGCCGCTGCTACTATATTTACTTGGATTGGTGACTTTTTGAGGTCCCTTCCAGTTCTAGTATATTATGATCTCTTCCATGGACAGATCATGGCTAAAGCTGAGCACCCCAGAATGCTGAGCTGGGATCAGCTCAATTGAATCAAGCAGCTTTGAACAATCTGAGTATTTTATTCCTGGTCTAAAAGCTGCCCATCAGGGGGGTGGGATGTGGGAAGGTGTCCCACAGCATGGGAGGTATAATGGCATGTGGAGAAAACAGTGGGCTGGGACTCAGGAGACCCGTGTTCTATTTCTGAATCTGCCACTGGTTTGCTGGGTGACCTTTTGGGTAAGCCACATTGTGCCTCTGTGCCTCGGTTTCCCCATCTGTAAAATGGGGATTATGGCACTGACCTCCTTTGAACAAAGCTTTTGAGCTCTACTAATGAAAAAGTACTATATATGAGCTAGGTGCCATTATTGTTAGCCAGAAAGATACATATTAAGTCATGGACTGTCCAGGCCAGTGTTTCCCAAATAGTGCCCATGGAACCCTCGGGTTCCACTCTGTGCCTCGGTTTCCCCATCTGTAAAATGGGGATTATGGCACTGACCTCCTTTGAACAAAGCTTTTGAGCTCTACTAATGAAAAAGTACTATATATGAGCTAGGTGCCATTATTGTTAGCCAGAAAGATACATATTAAGTCATGGACTGTCCAGGCCAGTGTTTCCCAAATAGTGCCCATGGAACCCTCGGGTTCCACTAAGACCAGTTTTGCCCGGCAGTTTGGTTTTTTTTAAGGGTTCCATGGCCAAATAAAATTTGGAAACAGTGCTCTAGGCAGTGCTACGTCTGTGTCCCTAGTGTCATGACTCTATTACCATCTGATGTCTCTAGTCCCTTTCATGAAGTTAGTTTCCATGGTGCATCCATGAAACCACTGCACCATGAATACATTCTTGGGGGCTTGTGGCTGGTGCATGGGTCTGGGGGAGGTAGAGGACTCAAAAAGATTAACCGAGCTATTGAGTTATAAGAGGCCACAATGGCTGTTAATTATAGCTGCTCCATCTGTGAGTACATAATTGATAAACAGCATTATAAATATGTGAACTTGGCAGGTAGGATTTTTAAATAATATCCCCTCCATTGTTCTTGGTGTGTAGGTGGCTTAAATTTTTTATTTAATTTACTGTTAATTCCGCCTGGCTCCAAGCTAATCTGCTTTTTGCCTGCTGCTGCACACAAGAGAACAGTTGAGTGAGCAGAACAGTTCTGACCAGGTGGAGTTTCATTACAAGGTGATTTAGAAACTGGTTGTGAAGAAGCCAAATAGTTCATCTCTCAGCTTCCTCCTGGACCCATCTGTGCATTTGCTAAGATCTGAATAGTTCCAGGGCCAGGGGAGGCCAGTGTCATCTGAAATGAGTGGGTGAAATTGACATGGAAGGGTGAATGCAGGAGGTGTGTTGCAGCAGCAGATAATTACCATAATGAACTGGATTGAGAGCAGGATAGGAACTGCCTGGAGGCAAATACCTTGAGACCATGTTGGGGGGAAGAAATCCAATTCAGGCTTTTTGTCTTTCCCATCCCTTATTTTTGCTAGTTGACACTCTTCACCTGTAATCATGGGGGAGGAAAGCCGGGGGCTGGGCTTCCCTAATGGATTCTCATTAACAGGCCTCTGCTTGGCGCTCCCAGTGCAGCTGCAATTGTCACCCCCATGGATGCATGTCTGTTCTGATGGGGGCGGTAGAATTGCACAGGCCTGCTGGAGCAGGGCTGAGGTATATCAGACTTTACGCCAGGTTACCGATTGGAGAAACATGACTTTCCCAGCCCCCCCCCCCCCACCCGCCCAACCCCCAATGCAGCCGGCC